GGGTTGGGGTGGGGGGTAGAAGCTTATATGTTTCATATTGGGGCGGTTTGAGCAACTGTGGAATGTATGATATGCCGACTGTATCCGGTCCATGCCGGTACGGTTTCCTCGGGGGATAAAGGGGGAGATAAGTGTGCCATAGTGAGCGGGGAAAGACAACTCTTTCGTAAAAAAAAAAAAACCGATCATAATTTAGAAAGGAAGTTTAGAGTATCGTATGTCCATCATCGGAGGTGTTAACGGCGGTAGAAAAATAATCATGATGGCTCCCATCGACCCACTTTTTGTCCCATTCGAGCTGTTTCAGAACTGTCAACGCCTGGATATGATAAAACTGGACGGTTTATTATTTTTATATAAAATAGACACTTAGGATTGCAGTCAAGTTTATTTCGTCAAGCCGGCAAGATGTAACAACGGCAATTCTCAAGTCCAAGATGTCCGTACGCTCTGCTTATCTAATTAATTTTGTCATTCATAAAGATTATGAGCTCAATCGTTGGCGAAATTTAGCTCATTGGAGAAACAAAACTTGGTACAATACTTGGTTGAAAATTTGGTACAATACTTGGTAGAAAACTTGGTACAATACTTGGTAGAAAACTTGGTACAATACTTGGTAGAAAACTTGGTACAATACTTGGTAGAAAATTTGGTACAATACTTGGTACAATACTTGGTAAATACATGGTACAATACTATACTATACAATGGCTGGCGTATCATGAAAAAAAAGGGGGGGGGGAGGGATGTAGCAACATTGACATTCTTAGATGTTCACGTTTTCTTCAAGTAACTTTAGTAGATGGGAAGTGCACGCATTGCTGTCGCCAATGTTTGGTGGGCTACATCTAGTACAGAATAGTTCAGTTGTTAAGCTCAATACAGAATAGTTCAGGTGTTAAGCTCCATACAAATAGTTCAGTTGTTAAGCTCAATACAAATAGTTCAGGTGTTAAGCTCAATACAAATAGTTCAGTTGTTTAGTTCAATACTGAATAACCCAGTTGTTTAGTTCAATACTGAATAATCCAGTTGTTTAATTCAATGCTGAATAATCCAGTTGTTTAGTTCAATGCTGAATAATCCAGTTGTTTAGTTCAATACTGAATAATCCAGTTGTTTAGTTCAATACTGAATAATCCAGTTGTTTAGTTCAATACTGAATAATCCAGTTGTTTAGTCCAATACTGAATAATCCAGTTGTTTAATTCAATACTGAATAATCCAGTTGTTTAATTCAATACTGAATAATCTGAATAATCCAGTTGTTTAATTCAATACTGAATAATCCAGTTGTTTAATTCAATACTGAATAATCCAGTTGTTTAATTCAATACTGAATAATCCAGTTGTTTAATTCAATACTGAATAATCCAGTTGTTTAATTCAATACTGAATAATCCAGTTGTTTAATTCAATACTGAATAATCCCGTTGTTTAATTCAATACTGAATGGTTTTTTTGTTTTGCCTTGTTTTTTTTCTTTATTTTTTTTTTTTTTGCACATGTGTTCATAATTGGATTTTGGAGGGCTGGAAGTAAAACGGTTGTATTTTAATGCACAGTTTGTTTGAGTATTCCCACAATTTTAATATAGTTGAAGTTATGTCATTACAATGTGACACAGCACACCCCTCCACTGTTACTTTTTCAACAAAATACCCTTTTGAACAACAATCCCTGATTAACTTATTGAAGCATTCGTTGTTGTTTTGAGTCGTTTCGTGAAGACGTTTACTGAGCAAATGCTCGTCAGCTAGATCATGCTCAAAATCCATGCTCAAAGAAGTGTATAACTGATCAGGGAGGCCATTTGTGTGCTTGTATTTGGCAGGATCAAGCTAATGGTTGCACCATGAGTTGCTTGATGTATAGCAGATTTTACATCAGCCTTCATTTGAGCCAAATGTCCTGTCTTCTGACGAATGCTCAAGCCAAAATAATTTTGAAGTGTCAATCTTCTTGTTGGTCAGTCTACCAAAACACCTTATACCTTTGCCATCATCAATCTTCTTGTTGGTCAGTCTACAAATACCACCTATACCCTTGTCAGCATCAATCTTTCCACCCTTAATTTTGCTACCAGTCGTTTCAACCTGGTGCCACACCGCTTCTGCACATGTCAAACACACTCTAACTTTTCTATTTCTCTATCTCTATATAGCTTTGACTCTAAAACCTTCGTGAATGAAGAAGAGTTTCTATATCCTAAGTACACGGTGTACTAAGCTTTTTAACGTCTTTAGAGCGTGAAAATATTCTCACTGCACCTACATCCTCCATAGCTCCAACACTTCCCATATTCTCACTGCACCTACATCCTCCATAGCTCCAACACTTCCCATATTCTCACTGCACCTACATCCTCCATAGCTCCAACACTTCCCATATTCTCACGGCATCTGCATCCTCCATAGCTCCACACTTCCCATATTCTCACTGCATCTACATCCTCCATAGCTCCAACACTTCCCATATTCTCACGGCATCTGCATCCTCCATAACTCAATCACTACCAATATGGTGATTTAACAATTATGAGTCAATGTCCACAACTCAAACTCTCGTGTGCCCCTTCTATCTTCCCAGTGCTGACATCCTTCACATATATTTTACAAAATAACGGTGTCTACATTTTTACCAGTTTTGATAGAAATGGCAGTGACAACACCATGGTGACTTTCATGACCTCTGCGCTACCAAGTGACAACACGGAAATTGAGCAGTCAACAACTCCTCCCTCTCCAGAACTGTCCAGCTCTGTAATTGTCTCTGTCCCAATTCAACTGCATCTGTCTCCATGTTTTTCTCCTTCGTGTCTCTGTCCCCATTCAACTGCATCTGTCTCCATGTTTTTCTCCTTCGTGTCTCTGTCCCAATTCAACTGCAGCCGTCTCCGTGTTTTTCTCCTTCGTGTCTCTGTCCCAATTCAACTGCAGCTGTCTCCATGTTTTTCTCCTTCGTGTCTCTGTCCCAATTCAACTGCATCTGTCTCCATGTTTTTCTCCATCGTGTCTCTGTCCCAATTCAACTGCAGCTGTCTCCATGTTTTTCTCCTTCGTGTCTCTGTCCCAATTCAACTGCAGCTGTGTCCATGTTCTTCTCCGTCGTTTCTCTGTCCCAATTCAGCTGCAGCTGCCTCCATCCTTTTTGTGGGCACGTGTCTGCTGACAGAATGAATTTTTGAAATAAATACTTTTATCATTATTTTTGGTCATGGGATACGGACTATTCAAATACAAGGAGATATGTCCAAAAGAATTCTGCTCTCGAAGTTTAATTATTTTTGACAGATGAGCAAGGTTCATCAGCCGCGATAACAGACCGTTCATCTCTTTGAAAAGCGTCCACAGCTGATCTTGGAGATCTATGGCCATACAACTTTCGCTTTATTGATCGAATAAACTTTTTTTGTTACCCATGTTTAAAAGAATTAAGCAGTAACTAGACACACACTTATTACTTCAATCAAACCATAGTTATCAGATAAATCACACAGATAAATTATTCCAAATGTTAGAATAATATTGTTTTTTTTTAATTGCACCAACTTCCAAGAGTAAATAAATATAAACCAAATATTTAAAGTTATGTCCCTCAATTAAATTTCTACTTTTTTCCTGTAAGGTGAGTTTATTATTAATTCGCTTTTTTTTTTTAATTTAAAATATTAGAATTTTATTGTTTTAGAGTTGCCGTAACCAAGTGTAAATAATGGTTTCTATGGAAAATTGATTGAGGGTGGGATATATAAAAATGCACAAAATTAAACAAACTTTTCATATTTATGTTAAATAACAAGTTCAATTAGTTCAATTGTCGTACGTTTATAAATATGCACTTTACTAAACTTGACAAATTTCATGATTTTAAAACAACTTTGGGGGGTCTTCTACTTATTGGCGAGAATTACGCCCGAAATCAAAACCGAAAGATTTACATATTTCAAAACTCGTCCCGTCAGACGTTAGCATAGACACATATCCTGTCAGACGTTAGCATAGACACATATCCCGTCAGACCTTAGGATAGACACATATCCTGTCAGACGTTAGGATAGACAAGTATCCCGTCAGACGTTAGCATAGACACATATCCCGTCAGACGTTAGGACAGACGCATATCCTTGACAGATTTTGTGGACATTTGAAATTTTATGTCATAAAAGACAATTTCATAAGCCTGATAGGGATGAAGTTCAATGAATTAACAAATTGAATACTCCTAAGGTCCTCTAACTCTTTAAAAAAAATAAAACAAAAATAATCAGGAGAACACTACCAATCCATGGGAGTTTGTTCCCCACAATAGTATTCACCTTTGCCTATGGCAACATTTATGAGCAAGACAATGAATGATAATTAAAATGAATATCAAAAATGAATGAATTTAATACACCTATGATTACCAAACTCAATGTTTAAAAAAATAACATTAATAATTAAATAAATAATACCCTTAATTTCATATATTTTAAAAATTATTTACCTTTCCTAGATCACCGTGCAGCTGTGGGCAATGTGCCCACAGGATTTGGTCATATATTACGCGACTACAACAAGACGTCGAGCCTTATTGAATATTGGACTGTCGGCCGACAGGAAGACAGACTGACCCTTAGAAATCTAGTAAACGGCCGAAAGCCTCAATCATATTCATTCGAAACCAAAACTGCGTCGAAAGTGATCAAATGTCGAATTTCGGCCGCCGAAACCGCAATTCAGTCATTGTTTACTTACCATGCTTATTTAGCCTTAAGGTCTGTCCATGGCCGGAATCGGTCATATCAAGAGAGACTTACAATGAGAGACTTACAATGAGAGACTTACAATGAGAGACTTACAATGAGAGACTTACAATGAGAGACTTACAATGAGAGATTGAAAAGGATTATCCGCTTTTACAGTACCCCCGGGGCATTGGGACATAAAGTGGCGTAGAGAGAGGGGGGGGGGGGGGTTCGTGCGATCTGACAGTTTTCCTCCTTATATTATATAGTATATAGTATTTTCGGAAAACTTCAGATTTTTTCATTAAAAAAAAGCTTAGCCCCCTCCTGGTTATGAGAGACTTACAATGAGAGATTGAAAAGGATTATCCGCTTTTACAGTACCCCCGGGGCATTGGGACATAAAGTGGCGTAGAGAGAGGGGGGGGGGGGAGTTCGTGCGATCTGACAGTTTTCCTCCTTATATTATATAGTATATAGTATTTTCGGAAAACTTCAGATTTTTTCATTAAAGAAAAGCTTAGCCCCCTCCTGGTTGGCTACGCAAATGGGGATAAAAAAAATGAATTTTTTAAAAATAAAATAATAAATATATTTTGTTCTGAAACTTTGGCTAGAGCAGTGGTCGGCCAATCGCGACTCGCGAACCACATGCAACCTGAGTGCGGCTCGGCCAGTCGGACAAATATCGGTTTTGACTCCGAAAAAATTACTTCTCGACAAGTTCTGTAAAAGAAATATGGCTCTTACTTTTTTTTTTTAATCGCCTTTCTGCTGGTTTTTAGCTGTTTTGAATAAACAGTTTGAGGACCACTTGGATAGAATAATGCTAGTGTGAACTCAACATGGTATTAGTACAACGGTCCATTTAGACTTGATTAATGCCAGTTAATACTCAACGCGTAGTTTGCACAACGGTCCATTTAGGCTAGAATAATGCAAGTTAGTGCTCAACATGCAGAATGCACATCGGTTCATTTAGGCTAGAATAATGCCAGTTAGTACTCAACATGCAGATTGCACAACGGTCCATTTAGGCTAGAATAATGCCAGTTAGTACTCAACATGCAGATTGCACAACGGTCCATTTAGGCTAGAATAATGCCAGTTAGTACTCAACATGCAGATTGCACATCGGTTCATTTAGGCTAGAATAATGCCAGTTAGTACTCAACATGCAGATTGCATATCGGTTCATTTAGGCTAGAATAATGCCAGTTAGTGCTCAACATGCAGATTGCATATCGGTTCATTTAGGCTAGAATAATGCCAGTTAGTGCTCAACATGCAGATTGCACATCGGTTCATTTAGGCTAGAATAATGCCAGTTAGTGCTCAACATGCAGATTGCACATCGGTTCATTTAGGCTAGAATAATGCCAGTTAGTACTCAACATGCAGATTGCATATCGGTTCATTTAGGCTAGAATAATGCCAGTTAGTACTCAACATGCAGATTGCACATCGGTTCATTTAGGCTAGAATAATGCCAGTTAGTACTCAACATGCAGATTGCACATCGGTTCATTTAGACTAGAATAATGCCAGTTAGTACTCAACATGCAGATTGCACATCGGTTCATTTAGACTAGAATAATGCCAGTTAGTGCTCAACATGCAGAATGCACATCGGTTCATTTAGCCTAGAATAATGCAAGTTAGTGCTCAACATGCAGAATGCACATCGGTTCATTTAGGCTAGAATAATGCCAGTTAGTACTCAACATGCAGATTGCACATCGGTTCATTTAGACTAGAATAATGCCAGTTAGTGCTCAACATGCAGAATGCACATCGGTTCATTTAGCCTAGAATAATGCAAGTTAGTGCTCAACATGCAGATTGCATATCGGTTCATTTAGGCTAGAATAATGCCAGTTAGTGCTCAACATGCAGAATGCACATCGGTTCATTTAGGCTAGAATAATGCCAGTAAGTACTCAACATGCAGATTGCACAACGGTCTAAAAACTAAAAGATTTTATGTTTGGGTTTTGTGAATCTTTACTCTCACTGCGCTGTGGGGGTGGATGGGTCTCAATCTGATTGTGGTGGGTCACGAGACGAAAGGATTACTTCCCGTGGAGGATA